CATATGCAAAATATAATGCATTCTCTATTATGTACATTATATATTTTCTGGATATCAATTGCATATATTATGTCCATGTTGAGATCATGGACAGGACCCAGCCTGTACTTTACAGTTTGTTCTGAGATGCATCTTCAATATCAGCTGTCTTAGCTGTTTTCAAATATTCAATGAACTGCCCCCAGCCGGGCACCGGTGGCTCACGCCTGTCACCCCAGCTTCTCAGGTGGCTGAGATCTGACAGCTGGTGATTCCAGTCTAGGCCATGAAAGGAAAGTCTGTGAGACCCTTTTCTCCACCAAGAAGCCGCAAGTGGAGCGAGCTGTGGCTCACGGGGTAGAACCCCAGCCTTGAGTGCAAAAAGCTCAGGGACAGCGCCCAGGCCCTGAGTTCAAGCCCCAGGACTGGCTTTCAACAACCACAGAGGCTTCCCACCCACCCAGGGGTGGAATTCTCTTCTCCTCCAGCCCATCCCCCTCTCCTGAGATTCTTCCAGGCTCTTCCAACCTCAGAAGTCAGTGTTTAGGCTGACATCAGCCCGGCCGGCTCGTGGGAAGCAGATGATATGGTCTTGGCCCCTCTGTCTGACTTAACTCCCTGAGCATGAACGAAACAAAGTCTTCCATCCCTTGTGGCAAAATGGCATCTCTGGGGGGGCGGGTGATCAAAACCTCCAGGGGACAGAGTCCACCTGCTCCCTTCCTGGGCCTCAGTTTCCCGGGGCAGGCTTTTGATGGACGTGGAGAGGCTCAGCTTTGATTCTCACCTCAAAGGGCGCACAGGGGATGGGCCTGGACAAAGCACGGGCTGGGACCTGAGTTCTAACCCAGCAAGTGTGTCCCTTCCCTGGTCAAGATCTTACACACGCGTGTGCTAACTCTATTTGTCCAGTGCTTGAACAAGCGCCTTAGATCGCAGAACCATCCATCTCTTTCTATTATTATTATTATTGTTGTTGTTGTTGTTGTTTTTATCATTATCATTGTCATCATCATCATCATCATCATCATCACCATCATCATCTTCATTTTGACTGTTAGTGGTGTAAAAGGATTCCACCCCTGAACTCCTCCTGGTGAATAGCTGGTGTGTATGTCTGCCCTCTGACGCTGTGAATGTTTCCATCTCGATTTCTAAACTGTGGACCCCCTCTTTTTGGGGGGCTCCCAGGCTCCTGTCGACCTGTTTTGGAGCCATTTCTCTAGTGTATTTGTTTCCTCTGCTGCTCTCATCAATGGCTAGAGATGAGTAACTTCAAACAACACACATTTCTTTTGGTCTGTGCCAATCCTGGGATTTGAACTCGGGGCCTGAGCACCGTCCCTGAGTCTCTTCGTGCTCAAGGCTAACGCTCTATTGCTTGAGCCACAGCACCACCTCCGGCTTTCTCTGTGTCTGTGGTTCTGAGGAATCGAACCCAGGGCTTCATGCATGCTAGGCCAGCACTCTACCACTGAGCCCCATTTCCAGCTCTCTGATGTTTTTCTTAAAGGGAAATCCAGCCTTTTCTCTCTCCACCTGACCAACAGTGTCATTCCAAGTACTGCTTTTCTTTCTAGAGTCTACTTGTTCTGAAAAAGACTTATAATCTCAGGTATTATAAATGATCCAGGACTCTAGACATTCACACAGAGAGAAGGAAGGAAGTTATTCTGAGGGGTGGATCACAAAGGCACAATAGCTACATACCTCTGATCGGATCAAATAGTATTTATGGAAATGAATGGCAGAAATGGACACAAGAGGTTTGATTTTCCCCTTGGTTGCTGTTTTTGTTTTCTATACCATTTTTCTGATTTGCTTATTTACTGTCTTTGGGGGAGACGCAAAGGGTGGACAGAGGCAACCGTGGTCCTCACTGAACGCCATGTGGAAAATGAACTCTACCACTTGTGGGTGGGGATGGGAGGGGAAAACTGGGAGAGAGCAAGGGAAGGGGGGACACTGTCCCCAAAGAAATAGACTCTTGCCAGGTGCTGGTGGCTCACGCCTGTCATCCTAGCTACTCAGGAGGCTGAGATCTGAGGATCGTGGTTCAAAACCAGCCTGGGCAGGAAAATCTGTGAGACTCTTATGTCCAATGAACCTCCAGAAAACCGGAAGTGGCGCTGTGGCTCATGTGGTAGAGCGCTGGCCTTGAGCACAAAGAGGCTCAGGAACAGCCCCCAGGCCCTGAGTTCAAGCCCCAGGACTGGCAAAAGAAAAAAAAAGGACTACAGGTGTGGCTCAAGTAGTAGAGGATCTGCTTAATAGGCAGAGACTCCCCGCTCCCCCCCAAAAGGAAGCCAGAATAGATAATACCTGATTTCAATGAGGAAAAAGTGTGGGGGGGGAAAGGTAGAATTTTCAGACTCATAAAGAAGAGTTTGTTCCTATTTTCTTTTTTCGTTTGTATTTTATTTTATATTTTTTTAGGAGCTGGTGGTGGGCGCCAAATTGCTCTGGTAATTTGGATTCTATTTGAAACGCTGAAACAAATGATGTCAGAGTTTTATTTATAAAACGTCAATATTTACAATAGAGAGAAAATTACATCCTTTGTACAATCTAAGTGTAGGACCAGGAAAAAAAAATGTAAGATGTCAACCCCCAAAAATGTGCCAGAGCCTAAAGAACATCAAGATTTTCTTTGAGCTTCAAAGCTGGGAGGTGTCTGTCTGTAGGCTTCTCAGACTTAGTAGGTGCTTAAAAAAATAATGTTTGGACTTGCTGGGTGCCGGTGGTTCGCACACCTGTCAGCTACTCAGGAGGCTGAGATCTGAGGATCGAGGTTCAAAGCCAGCCTGGGCAGGAAAGGCCATGAGACTCTTGTCTCCAATGAACCAGCCAAAAGCTGGAAGTGCAGCTGTGGCTCAAGTGGTAGAGTGCTAGCTTTGAGCAAAAGAAGCTCAGAGACAGAGCTCAGGCCCTGAGTTCAAGCTTCAGGACTGGCACACACACACACACACACACACACACACACACGTTTGGCTTTAAAGGGACACATTTGTAAACTCTTAGCTAGAATCCACTAACAGTGCTCATGTAGTAGGGAAGGGAAAAATATAAGTGTTCACATCAAAGCTTAAAGTAAGAAAGTTTCAGAAGTGGGATTCTCTAGTTGAAGCTCCACGTCGGCTTAGGAGCCCCTTGGGGGACCCCAAAGTCCTAAGAAACCATTACCTCTTTCCTCAGACTAGGAACACTTGGGTTGGCTTAAGGCAGCAGAGATAAACATGATGTAGATTTGGCTGAATCTCTGAAGTAGTACTCCAGGAAATGGATGGAGGTTTTGGTTGTCCATCCATCCATCCATCCATCCATCCATCCATCCATCCATCCACCCATCCATCCACCCATCCATCCACCCAGCCATCGATCTGTCCATCCATCCATCAATCTATCCACATACCCATCCATCCACTCTTCATCCATCCATCCATCCATCCATCCACCCAGCCATCCATCTGTCCATCCATCCCCTCATCCATCAATCCATCTGTCCATCCATCCATCAATCTATCTACACATCCATCCATCCACTCATTCATCCATCTATCCACCTATCCATTTCCTCACTAACCTATCCAACTATCAGTCCATCCACTCATCCATCCATCCATCCACATATCTGTCCATCGATCCATCTGTTTATCCTACCAATATCCATTTACTCATCCATATATCTATCCATTCATCCATCCATCACCCACATATCCATCCATCCACTCATCATTCATCCATCTACCATCCACACATCATCCTTCCATTTATCCACATCTCCAATAGCCATCCACTTATCTATCCATGTATCCACCCACCCACCCACCCACATCCACACATCATCCTTCCATTTATCCACATCTCCAATAGCCATCCACTTATCTATCCATGTATCCACCCCCCACCCACCCACCCACCCACCCATCCATCCATCCATCCATCCATCCATCCATCCATCCACCCACCCACCCATCCATCCACCCACCCATCCATCTATCCATCTATCCATCCATCCATCTCACCCATCCACCCACCCACCCACCCATCCATCCATCCATCCATCCATCCACCCATCCATCCATCCCACCCATCCACCCACCCACCCACCCACCCATCCATCCATCCATCCCACCCACCCATCTACCCATTCATCCACTGAAGCACATCCAGGCTCTTTCCAGAGCTTGGCTATGGTGAATGGAACCCAATCGTGAACACGGTTGGTAGCACACAAGATGAGATGCATTTCTTGCATAAATATTTGTGAAGCAAATGAGAAATTAAGAAAGCACTGTATTTGGTGGGGGGAAGAGGGTGGAGGGATGCTAGTCCTGGGGCTTGAACTCAGAGCTTGGGTTCTATCTCTGAGCGTTTTTCTTTTCTACTCAAAGCTAACTCACTACCGCTTCCAGTTTCTTTTTTGTTTTTTAGTGGTTCATTGGAAATGAGAGTCTTACGGACTTTTCTGCCCTGGCTGGCTTCGAACCACCGTCCTCAGATCTCAGCCTCTTTGTTGGCGAGGATGACAGGTGTGAGCTACTGGTGCTCTGTGGAAGCAATATTAATTATTATTATTGTTGCTGTTGTTATTCTTTTGAGTAGATCTCTAGGTTCCTGGGATTGTGGGAGGTAGAAAGCTGTTTGCAAAGGGTTCAAAGCCATCCAAAGCCTCCTCTCTTTGTAAGTGGGGGGGCTGAACTTGAGTCCACACTTTAGAGCAATGGTCACAAGCCCAGATCCTTGTCCACATTACCCCAGCACGGACTGCGGCTGGTCTATCTTGGAGCATGGACGTCTCCAGGGTGGAAGGGGCTAGGCCACCTTAGGTTTAGCAGCAGATTTCAACACAAAATACATTCTTGGACGGGATTGTCTCGTGTGAGGCCGAGGGGATGAGCCATTGGTCATGCAAATGGAGGGTTCCCGGGACTCAATAACAGGGTGTCATTGTCTTGAAGGGCTCCGCTGATCTCATAGACCAGGGAAGTGTGGCTCAGCAGAATGCAGGGTCGGGTTACCGCATGGCTTGTCCACAGGCCACCGTGGGTCACCCCCACCCCAGGGGCTCCCCGAGAGGCTGCCTGCATCAGGGCTGAAGTATTGGAGCTGCACTGGGTACATGCACGACCCCAAATCTCTCAAGGATTCCAGTGGAGCTCTCTCTCCCTCTTTCCTTCCCTCCCTCCCTTACTCCCTACCCTCCTTCCTTCCTTCCTTCCTTCCTTGCTTGCTTCCTTCCTTCTTTGCTTCCTTGCTTCCTCCCTCCCTCCTTTCTTCCTTTCTTTGTCTCTTTCTTCTCTGTGTCTCTGTGTCTTTTTCTCTCTCCTTCCTTCCTTCCTTCCGTTCTCTCTCTCTTTCTTCCTTCCTTTCTCTTTCTCTCTCTCTTTCTTTCTTTCTGTCTCTCTTCCCTCTCTCCCACCCTCTCTGCCTCCCTCTCTGCCTCCCTCCGTCTCTCCCTCTTTTCTTCCTTGTGTTTCTATCTTTCTATCTTCTCTTTCTGTCCTTTCTTTCTCTCTCTCTTTCTTTCTTTCTGTCTCCCTCCCTCCCTCCCTTCCTTCCTTTCTTCCTTCCTCCCTCCCTCCCCTCCCTTTTCCCTCCCTCCCTCCCTTCCTTCACTCCTTCCTTCCTTCCTCCCTCCCTCCCCTCCCTTTTCCCTCCCTCCCTCCCTTCCTTCACTCCTTCCTTCCTTCCTTTCTTCCTTTTGTGACAATCCTGGGGTTTGAACTTAGGACCTCATGCTCTTGCTTTGCTTTTTTTCCCCTCACTCAAGGCTGGTGCTCTACTACTTGAACAACACCTCCACTTCTGGCTTTCTGTGGTTCATTGGAGATAAAAATATCACAGACTTTCCTGTCCAGGCTGGCTTTGAACAATGATCCTCAGATCTCAGCCTCCTGAGTAACTAGGATGGCAGGTGTGAGTTACCGGCATCTGGCTAGATTGATAACCTTTAGCAGTGACACAGGAAGCCACCAACAAGATGACATTGTCATTGGATGAAATCCGTGTAGCATATTTGTTTACACAAAGTCAGATGGTGCAGGCTTGTCATTCAGCATGCAATCAATAGACTTGGTAAACAGTAGAAGCTTTCTGCCAGTATTACTCAGAATATGGTGCTAAAGTCATGTGTTTGTGTGTGTGTGTGTGTGTGTGTGTGTGTGTGTGTGTGTGTGTGTATTAGGGCTTGAACTCAGGGTTTCAAGTTCTTGCTTAGTTTTTTTTTTTGTTGATGGCTGGTGCTCCACCCCTTGAGCCACACCTCCAGTCCATCATTTTGCTGATTAATTAAAGGTAGAAGTTTGTAGGCTTTTCTGCCTGGGTTAGCTCCGAACCTGATCTTTCAGGACTCAGCCTCCTGAGTA